AGATTAAAAACAAAACTATCTGTCACCTGAAGGTATGTTACATACACATTCTGTCTCATTCTCATCATCTTTCACATGTTTTCTAAATTACAGCACATGCATCTGTGTCTTTCTGTGCAGCACTTTGGGATGCAACGGTGTTTAAAGCAGTTTGGAAATCAATATAGCTTGCCCTGGTGGCAATGCATTAAAAAGGCTAAATAAAACATGTAGTATATATTTCCAATCGGCTCATATTCATATCTGGTCTTTTCTGCATTGCTTTAATACTGTAGACAAAGAGAAGTAAAAATACTCCTGAGTAAAAAAAAACCAATACCTCCCCCACTCAAATGAAAATTAAACATTCGTGTAACGTATTATTGTAACTGCAGTTCATCCATTTAGAAAAATAACTGCAACCGTGTGTATTCTGGCTCTGTCCACATGTCTTATCCATGGTGACCAAGCCCACAGTCAGTCAGGCAGAAGACTTTAGTTGAGTCACTGGCATGGCTGAGGGAAACTAGGGCACGGTGGATCAGTTTGTCCCAGAACATCATTGCTTTCTCTGTATTTCTATCTACCTCTCTCACTCTCCATCTCTGCCTCTCTCTATATATCTGCCTCTCTCACTACAGAGGAAAGACCAACCTCCTGGAACAAAAACTGCAATGTCTTATAAGATCATGCCCTAAAAGGAATATTCATTTCAAATGTTTAATGCCATATTCAGCTAGATGTGTGTCAGATGCAATGTCATGAGATTAACGACGAGGCTCGGTTCACTTTCTATGACAACTGTTCAACTACGTGCATATGACAGGATATAATAACTGGCTACAGTATTTTACATTTTCAATAGGCTCTATATTTTATATTCTTTCCCGCTGGCACATGTATATGTTTTCTTCAACTATAAAGCAAATAACTCATCTGTAATTATTTTTAGTGATCTGCTTACTTTTGAGTGGTATGCAATTTGAGCCAGACTAGCAACTAACGATTCTTTTCATATTTGATTAAATCAGTTTACGATTAATTGATAAATATAAACTTCAGAAAACAGTGAAAAAACTGTGAATACATTATTTGATTTGGCTGAAAGTCCAAAACCCAAATAAATCCATTTACACTTATATAAATCAAAGTAAATGCTCATATTCTGAAAAGGCAGGGATGGCAATTTATCCATTTTCCGTGAAAATATGACAATGAATGAACAATGAATCAAAGTTTCAAAATGGTAGACTTTTCTGTAAATCAACTAGTACATTAATCTACTAATTCTTTCAGCCCAAAATTGATCTGCATTTAATTTATTTTTACTCTTTTTTCATTCCTTTGTTCTATTGAATGTCATCTTTACCCATACTCTGCATAATGACAATAAAGTTCAATCTAATCTAATCTTCTATTCCCCAAATAATGTAAAATCGGCACTTCAAATTAAACTGTAGCACTTGTGTATATTTACAAAACTTCTTTTAAAACCAGAGTTTGCAAAGTGCTTTATTAAATAAAAAAAAGCACAGATTAGATCACATAATCAACTGCTGATAAAGACAACTCCTTGGGGCAAATTAACAAAAAAAAAAAATCTTCCACAGGGAAAAACATTGAATTAATCTTAATTTTTTAATATAAAAATCACAAGACATGGGACCACTTTGCCGGGCTGGGAGTTTCCTTATTGGGCATCATGACAAAGACCAGATCTTTGATATGTATCAGAGATAGAACAACTTGCAATAATAATAATAATAATAATAATAATAATACTACATCATCATCAAGCCAGCCATGGCCAAAATCCCAAATGGTAACTGAGGCCCAATATACAGCATGTGGACCTCCAGGTACATGAGTCCACCGTGTAGATGCTAAGGCTAGTATAATAACACATGTTTAGTTAATATTATTGTTTTTATATATACCTCTTAGCTATCTAAAGTAAGTCAAAGATATCTCCACCAAGCTTAAACAGACCAAAAATCTGACGTTTTTTACCAGACTGGAATTTCACATCGTATCACAAGGTTGATACCCATCATGCCATATAAACCCAAACATGGCCATCATACAATCTGTCATGACATCACTTCTCATATACACCTACCAACAGCTGACAATGTGGCCTGCAATGTAAAAAAAAACAAAATACTGAAAAATGTGGCTTTCTGCTGGGTATCCCATTGCTCCCCAATTCTAAAATTTTTGTTCTGCGTTCCACTTTTCCTTTGATGTGCATGAAAATCATTATGGCTGATCAGTCATAATGATTATTCACATTTGGTCAAATTAATATTGCACAGAGGAAAGTGACAGTGAATTTTGTTCATGATATGTAGGGTTACCTCAAGAAGCCATCAGCTGCTGGCTTAAGCTCTGGTATGTCAAGTAACGGTAAGTTAATGATTTGAGTAAGCTTGCAGATATAATGTATGCTGGACATGCAGCTGCCACTTATTGTAGATAACTGTAAAATAAAACATAAATCACGATGAAAGTAGTAGTAACAAATAATGTTAATGAAAAACTTAAACTTGACCCAAGAACACACTCAAAGGCTTTAAAAGAAAAAAAAGAAAAAGAAACACATCAAGCTGAGGTGCTTTTCTTATACTGAATGCAGTGAAGTATTATAAGCAACTGATGCACACTTACAGATATTTCTAATCAGTCACGCATAAAAGTGCAAACACATGCACACACACTTTTTGAGCAGTGCTTCCAGAGTACGCCCTGACCTTTATTCTGTCTACAGTGACATCTCTCCTACCTCACCAGATAGTGCGGAAATTCAAGCATACAGGAATGCGTGTGCATGTACACACACACACACACACACACACACACACACACACACACCTCACAGGAGAGAGAACTTGTCCTGGAATTCAGTCCCAAACGTCCTTGAATGACGTCGGTGGTTTAAAAATACAGAGTTTGCACAAAATGGATAGGTTACTTCATCCTTAGTGACCTGTCCCCGTTTCTCACTGGTGTTCCACACCTTGCAAGCATAGACTCAGATATCACACAAAAACCATCAGATGGGAACTGCTGCTCTAGTCCAATCTGATTTTTACAGTTCAACAAAGAAAAATGAGACATAGATATCTAATCTCTGCAAGCATACAAAACAACACATATTTAAAAGAGCTGAGTACAGCCCACCAGCACGCAACGTTTTATTCTGCTCCAACAGAGAAAATTTGTAATGGTAAATGGTCTGTATCTGTATAGCGCCTTTCTAGTCTTTCCAACCACTCAAAGCGCTATGTGTGCAGTGTGTTTATTTTTTTACTTAAATAAAATGTGTATTTAGATTATATACATACACATATGTACACGCTGCATTCCCCCAGCTTCTGACGCTCTCTGGGTCTATGTGCATACTCTGTGTCCATAGTGGTGCAAGTGTGTATGTGTTCTCTGCGTCACTGTGCCAAAGAGAGTAACTGAGGCCTGGCAGCGGAGCAGTTCCTACCAACAGGCCAAGTGACGAGGGATAGAGACTGTGCTCAGAGCCCTCAACAACCCGGCCTACAGGGATATGAGAAGAAGAGCAGGAGCAGAAGAGAGGTGCACTCATTAAACATGGAGAGAGATACATGAGGCTGCTTGCTACATTGCTGCATGTAAGCCATAAACTGCCAAACTCTGATGATGAAACTGAGGCAAGGAGTTCTAAGGTTTTAAAATTAAAAGACAGATGAGGTTTTAGTGAGTTCACGTCACCCTATGTCCTCAACTTTGATGCGTCTCCTGTGGCTGTATTTATCCAAATTTGTATTTTACCCCCATTTTCCCGCAATCTTTTTAAATTACTTGTATGAAGATTGTACCTGGAAGGTATCCAATCTGTGATCTCAACATGACCCTGACTACTTTTATTATCTGAACTTCAGAATCCAACAGCAATATGAGCAAAATTCCAACTTTCAAATCTTCATTCAAGACCTCCTGAGTCTCGTGATGAAAGCCAGCGTTTACAAACTACACAGCAGCAAGCATGCCTGGTTAAAGGGGTACTGCAGCCATTTACTGTTGCATTGCCGTAAAGTTAGGGGACAGAAAACAGGCAAGATATCATCACTTTTAGCCCATAGTATGGGTCAGGCTCCAATACCACTGAATCCTACATTTCCCATATACAATAGAGCATTTCATTAGATCTTCCTCACTTCTTAAATGCAACTTCTTTCTACTCCAATATCTCTAGTTTGTAGCACAGGCTTTCGGTTAAAATTGTATGTCTCAAACCCAAGCAGGAAAAAGTTATTTTCAAACCTACCGAACTACAGAAAAAAAATACAAATTGTTTTCACAGGCTGTGTAGTACACCTCATGAAGAGTAAACTGAACTTCATGTGTAAAATGAAGAGTGCCCCTTTCAAGGAATTATGTAGATGATGTCCTCTGCATCTACCACCAGTGTGTGTTAATCAATTAAAGACAGATCCACAAGAAGCTGTGCACTTTCTCCAATGTTCACCTTCAAGGTATTTCTGTCCTTATCCAGATTACCCTGAAATCCCCATAAGACCTGGACAATCCTAAGCCATTCAGAACTCTGGGGCAGCCCCTTACTAAAACCTCTGCCCCCAGTAGCCTCCTTCAACACCACTATTACTGTTTTGCTTCCGCTTTTATTCACACCTATTCACACCTACTCACCCCAAATATTACTCAAATTTTACTTTATATAAAAACACACCAAAGAATGCTTATGATCATGTCTTTCTATTTTTCCTCTCACTGTGTCCCGCTGCATTTATTAGCGATACATCTTTAAGTTTTTTCTACCGCTTCTTTGCCTGCCATCAGATTGTCCTTTGCAGTGTGAACCAGGGGCAGCTGTTCATCAGGCGCGTGCAGTCGCCATTCGCCTACCCCTCTCTCAGCTCAATTCCAGGTAAGGTCAAAGGCCAATAAAGCAAAAGGACAAGCTAAAGGAGCTTGTGAAGGTGGGACACTGCCTGGTCCAGTGACACTACAGTGTACTGTAATCTTACCGGGAACCTTTCCATTGCAGTCAGCCACTCCTCCTCCTCCTCAGTCCAGCCAAATACATGACAAAAAGACAAGCGGAGTACAAACAACAAGCTACACAAAAAGACCGTTTTGCCTGAATAAGAGATCATTAGTCTACAGTTACTTTTTAGCCAGAGCCATACCTAACTGTACAATCTTAATTACCACAGCCCTGTGGCCTAAAGAAAGGTTTAGAATTAGCAATACGTGCACTGTGGCCACACCACCCCTGCTCTGTCTGCAACTCTGCGTGGCTCCACCTCTCTGCAACAGCTTAGATGTTTTTGAAAATATCAGAAGCGGTTCTCCAGGGCTCTTCAGATGTCTGTGAGAGCATTAGATAATCACCGGACTCCCCCTCCACTTCACCTGCTAAAACAGGAGCACTGATGTCACCGTTGCATGAGGGATCAGTGAGTGACACGAGCTGGAGCACCGGGCTTGGCACACAAGCTATACTTGATTTAAAACACAACACACACACACACACACACACACAGAATAGGGATTGACTGCATGCCAATACAAACATTCATGGAAGTTTATAAACACACAAGCATAAAGGCCAGATTTTATTGCGAAATATTCTGCTGTATTATTAAAATAAACAGGTGGTGTAGAAAATGCCGAGACAAAAACACACCAAAAAAAACTTGTAATAAAAAATATATGGTTAAACCAGGCAGACAGCAACTTCCTGTCTGAGTAAGTCTAATATTTAATTAGCAACTAAACACAGAACTTTCACCCGTACTGATTACCACAGAACTTGGCTATTACACTTAAATATATATATAAAAAAATACTAAACACAACTAATACAATACTAACCCTGACATTTAAAACTGAGTTTCTTTAAGAGGTTATCCACAAAGTAAGACACATTTTAAAATATTGAGCTTTTTTGCAATAAAATATGAATTACATAAACTCACTACTGATGTAAATGGAGAAATACAATGACCGTAATTAAATATTTAACTTATTTGATGTTTATGGATATGCTGACATGTCAACAGCAAAGCTTGTTGGTTTTATACTCTTAAGACTTAAAGCCCATTTACTACATCTAATGATCCTTTTCATCTTTACCCAGAATTTTTCATGAATTTTAAAAGAGAAACTGTATTATCTCAAACCAAACTTTTAATGAAATACTGAATAAGAATAAGATAAATGTAAAAAGACAGTTTATGAGGAGACATGTTTTCAAGGGATTATTTTCTGGCAAATGCTTCCAATTTTCCTGGGGGTCTCGATATGATGATCGATAGTAAGTAGATAGTAGATAGTAGTAGTTAGGTGTTGTAGCATTGATATCAAAACACTCAATAAGGATATAATTTTTTCTAAAACACAACCCCAGACAAAACAGAATTGAAGGCTTCATGTGTACCATTTATGGATTATTTAGCCTATGCTGGATTATGTAGAAACTGTTCATTAAAAATACATGAACATACACATACAAATGTTTGTATAATATATGATAATATTTCCTATAGTGACAAGCCACTATTCTGGTCACACTACACACAGTTAAAACAGATGACATGCGAGGAATGTAATCAGGCAGGTGCAACAGGTAAATAAATGACACAGGTGCTTTTGACATGCAGGAATGTTTAAGCTATTGATTCAGTAGGCTACTGCTATTAGAAAAACATGTGTGTTCAACTGTCTCTCACTGTTTTACATGTACATGTCAATTGTTTTTAAACTGGGCATGTACTCATAGTTTCTATTGAAACATTTCCTCCTCTCTTAAAGCTTCTAAAATGTCATCTAGATTATATACATTTGCTACACATATCACACTGATGCAATAAATGAATGTTCTTGGACAACTACAACTGGCTGAAAAGAAAGTGGTGAACATTTTTTAAACAGTATGTTGTACAGTGGAACACTATAGAATTGTGAATAGATGTTTGTATTTTCAAAACAAGGCTGAACTTTGAATAAACCCACTTCCTCATTTTGTCATGACTCGGTAAAGTGGGTATGGAGTATTACATTTCTGTTACAGTTAAGTAGCACAACATATCACTTAGTATAATGGCCCCACACAACTTGCTTACACACTACAAAAACAATGCGCACCATCTGTGCTCTGCCCTGTACAAATTGTTAGGGATATGTCAACTGAGGGTACAGTATATCTTCAGAGCAAAAGGCAGGACACACTCCAGAGAGTTTTGCGTCATAGCTGTGTCCATTAAAAAAAGGAAGGAGACAAGCACTGCCAGCTTAATGCCCTGTTCATCAGGTGAATGAGTGTCTTGCATGTTTACTACAGCCAATAAGCTGCAGGCCTGTTCACTTAAATTCAGTGAGACTCTTGTCTGATCAGGGCTTCTTTAGTGAAGAAAGGCAGTAAAATGAAATCAAAGCCTCTGGAGCATATCAATCTACTTTCTAAAATAGTTTCAGATCAACTGCCAAATTTTTGCAGTGAAATGACTATCAGGTTCATAATTTAATACTAAATCTACCAATTGTTGGTACTTTGGAAACCCCTTTCTTTAGATGATTCTGGCTGTAAGGACAGCGGTGTGTCGAGCGTGAAAATGGCCCAAGTACTCTAGTAGCCAGTTGCTGTTAAAACGGCTGTTATTATTGTTGTTCATGGTTACAGCAGTCCACAATCGCCACATAAGGCTCTAATCCAGGGGAGATTAAAAACGCACCTATGGACACTGACACTGTGCAAGAGAGATGACTCAGATGAACTCTTCCTTTGGAAAAACAATGATGGTGTTTTCTGTACATGGTGTACTTTTCAAAACCACTCAAAAGTGTGGGATTAAGACATTGGGGTCTTAATATAGAGGGGGTATGCGCATAACAGCAGTCTCACATGAAAAAAATAATACTGAAACAATGGCTAAAGCAGAAAATAGTTATGGTGATACCAACTGAACAAATAGACACAGAATGGGCGACAGAGCTTTCACCATTGCAGCCCCCTCCCTATGGAACTCCTTACCCATACACATACGAGATTGCAGCGACATGGACTCTTTCAAATCACTTTTCAAATCCCACCTGTTTAGACTAGCTTTTAACATCAAACAATGTTATATTACACCTGCTGCTGTTTGTTATTTATATAGTCACCCCTTGCTCTTATGCATTTCCTCACCACGTTTATATCTACGGTTCATATATTTTATATTATGCTATTTATGTTTTTAATCTGTTTTAAATGTTCATAACTTCTGTTTTTACTGTAAAGTCTCTTTGAGTGTCCTGAAAAGCCCTATAGAAATAAAATGTATTATTATTAGAAGTCTTTACAGATATAGATATATGGAAACATTTGGAGCCAAATCATTCATTACATTGTTTTCGGACAACTGTAATGCCATCTTTAAAAAAGGAAACGGAAGAACGGAAATGCAAAGAAATTTGCTGTCTTGTTAGATGAGAACAGCATTACTACTCTCATGTCTATACGGTAAATATAAAGCTACAGCCAGCAGCCGGTTAGCTTAGCCTAGCATACCATTAAGACAGGAAATGGGGGAAACAGCTAGCCTGGCTCTGTCCACAAAATCAGCCTATAAGCACGTCTGTCCAAAGCTCACTGGTTAAAACATCTTATATTTTGTTTTTGTTAATCTGTTCAAAAAATAAAGTGTAAAAACAAGAAGTTCTGGTTTTATGGAGACTATCTGCTTTGTGTTTTTTTCCCTTGTTTTTCTGTTTCACTGCTGCCCTTTGGGAACAAATAAAGTGACTGATTGATCAACATATACTTCAATAGTGATGGTAGGAATGTTTGCAAGACACTACAACAGTCAACAGATTTAAGAAAACTGAGACGAACTGCACAACTAGATGGCCTTTGACACAGGACTGTTTTCTATGAAAGATCACCTCATTGTCTTCCTCACACCGATAGTCTCAACTCCAGTCAGTCCTAAAAGCCTAAATGCATGGAGCAGGAACCCATATTTGAAACAGACATCAGTAGCATGACAACTCTGCAGACGCTCACAGCTCAGAGGAGCCCAAAAAATTGGGAGAGACACAGTCCAGGAGGAGCTTAAAAGGCCACCAGTGGACCTGTGGGCCCACTTACATCTACATTCCTGTGAGCTTCTGAAAGAGAACAGAGAGCGCTGCTACAAAGTAAACACTTGTAGTGCCTTGTTTTGGAAGAACACCATTTCCATAATCTCATGAAACTATCACATGCTGACCTTATGATACTAAATTCTTAACCTGGGGCGGGGCAGAACATGCTTTGAATGTGGCATTATTGGTTAAGACTATTTTAAAAACAATGGGAGGTTCTGTTTCATAAGTACATGCACACAACTGACACCTCTGACAAGTGAGCAAGCTCTCGGAGGTGAAGAGACCGACTGTATCTACAGTCAAGGTGACAAAAAGATTTATTATATTATCCTATATTAATTTCTACACAGGATCAACATTAACTCTGTCAGCAGTGGGAAACTTTGATGTCATACCAAGTATTTGAGCTGTTAAATGCTCATGAATAGACTGTTTATAGGAAATAAAATGTATAATAATATAATGTATATAATGTGTTTACCCCAAACTCTTGGAGATATACAGTATATAAACAGCTTGTAGGGTGATACGTTCTAGAGCTGCCAATACATCAATCAGTGGACTGTGGATGCTCCATGGGTCCAATCTCGCTTCCTCCAAAACTCTATCTGCTCATGTGCCACCGGAGAAAAATGACATGGCAAAAAAAGAAAAATAATGTATCCGCTTACTGCTCCCGCAGACACTCCAGACAGGAAGGGAAACGCAGGGTCACACTGCAGCTGACGTTTTGTTTAAATAAAACATAATGAACAGCTAAAGTAATTTTTAAAGGCTATACTCAAGTGATTTGTGAAGTTTATTGTAACGTCAGTGAGTTTAAAAAGTAGACCAAATATAGTTGAACAGTTGGACACTTTGGGAAACGTATTCCCTTTATAGCTAAGAGTTTGATTAGAAGATAGATACCACGGTCATGTCTGTCTGTTAAGTATGAAGATACAGCCAGCAGCTGGTTAGCTTAGGTTAGCATAAGACTGGAAATAGGGGGATACAGGCAACCTGGCTCTGTGCAAAAATAAGAAAATCCACCTATTAGCACCTCTTAAGCTCACTAATTAACACATTTTGTTTGTTTAATTCATACAAAAACAGAAGTGCAAAAATGACAAATTGCTGTTTTACAGAGAGTTATTTGCGAGAAAACACACAAAATGGTGAAATAGTAGTTTTGGAAAGAGCCAGGCTAGCTGCTTC